AAAGAAAATACTCTGTTATAACGAGCTACTATGTTAAGGCAATAAGAAAAATTTCCTGGTTCAACCCAGTCGGAAGAGGAGGGGAGGGGGAGGGATGAAGATATGCATACCACTTCTTGATCCCTCCAGAGGAGTATAAACCGGGACAGCGAACTTAAAGTATAACTTCTCAAAAGTTTTCAAAAATTGATGTTTCTCTGAATGTCTAAACTTATTCATGGTGGACTCTGAGTGCACGCCACGTTGTAGAAAACGAGATGAAGCGAATTTATTCTATTGTGGCGCTTCTCACAGCCTCCAGTCCTGGGCTGTCCACAGTCACTCAACCTTTACAACAAGTGCTACCGTGCGTAAGAGGAATGAATTTCGATCAGTGTGGCAAATAAATTCTCTAAACCTTCCAGACAAATATATAAGTTCCCTTCCCCTACCTTCTTTGCTGGAACTTTATAGCCAAGCCCTGCCAATGGAGTAGGTATGTTTTTTGTCGTCTGCATGTCAGAATCCCCTTCTGATGGAAATGTTAGTGCCAAAATTGGTGGTGCTGAGCGTTTAGATCGATTTCTTTGGAGGACTTCTCCCTTATTTTGGTAAAAGGCTTAGAACAGAGTGGGCATGTCTGTAGTTTGGACCCTCTTTTGAACAACTATTTTCTAAATCCCCATTATCTTAATCAGGTGTATGCGTATGGAAATGGTGGCTAATAGCACCGTCTTTATAACGTTGGTGTTCATTTGCATCATTTGTTGGGAATATCTGTACTTTCGGGTTTTCCAATCTTCGGATGTTCGGGCTACCAATTCGAAAATTTGATAATTAGAGTTTTTGAGATCTCTCTGTATTGGACGCAGATTCTTTGTAATATAAGCATGATGTTTCAGCTCTGATTCAGGCTTGGCTGAGGACTCTAGTCGGAAAATTGATCGTATGTTTGCTGTCATAGCTTTGTTGCCGTACAAAATTTTCATTAAATACCCATTCAGAGGAAGAGGATGTAAGCAGACTTGAACCGTTTGTTCATTTCCAATGCTCCATATGTAAATTGACCGAGAAGTGTTTTTTCGGTGATCTCAAAGCATCGGATGGTTTGTAAGTTATTGTATTTTTTCTTTCCTAATTCTAAGAATTATTGTTCTAGTTATCCTTCTCCCGTGTTCTACATGAGAGACCCTTTCGTACCACCTTTACGTGTGAAGGGAAGAAAACCCGTACTCTCCGACTTCCTCGTACTTGGATCATCGTGTTCTCTATGCAATCAGTCTGTATGTCTTGATAAGGTAGGAGCTGAACGCTCTATTGACTTGCTACATTCCCTTCATTTTATTCTAGACATGCAGCCTGTACTTTGGAGCGTTGTTCTGCACTACATGCATTACTCGTGAGCGCAGAAGATTCCCAGAAATATTGCTTCAAGTAATCTTCTGCACCTTCAGATCTTGCTAATCTTAACTTCATGAACTTTAGATGTTGGCGAAAGCAACGTGCGCTTCAACTGATAAAAAGAAATGAACTCTACTCTGAAGGCATGACAGCATAGATTGATGTCTTTAATGATCAGTTTTCGTGGAGGCCATCGTTGAAACAGTTGATGAATGAACTTTGACAAATGAACCTTCGTCACCCTCTTGGTTATTTCTGAAACCGCAAAAATAGCGGCCATCATAAAGGCTGCTTTTGGCGTTCACAGAGAATTTGATTCTCGAATGAGAGTTTTGTTTCTGTGAGGGGGTCAAGAGTTAACAGTAGACTACGACAGGAAGGTAGTAAGGAAACTGTCACACCCATGCTGATATATTTTCCTTTACTTTCATTTTTTCGTAGTTTACTATCTCTGTTACCCCACAGTCATTACAAAACCATATATTGCAAAAAGTACTAGCTCATCTAGAGTTCTTGGAAAACTAGTTCCGCCAAAAAATAGCTGTTTTCGGAGACATGAGCATGTCAGCAGGTTTATAATCATTCTAATTTGCATACCCGGCTCCACTAGGTTAGCGTAGAACTTCCATCTTTGTATAAATTTCTTTGAAAATGACAAGTTAGCCTTAGAAAGTTTCATCTTGAAAGTTCAGCAGATTCGCTGACTATGCAATAATGGTAATATCACCATGGTAATCTCATCTTTATTCAACATTTCTTGTTTGTATTCCTGTGTATTGATCCGCAGCATCGTACGGGAAGGAGCGAAAAGTTGAGGAGATTTTTTTGGTTTCAGTACTACAAGAATTTCTAGCCTCACTACATAATCTATGATCTCGCTGAAACTTCGCCCAGATGGGCTGTTTGACATGCTGATCACAAATAAACCTCCGTTCTGCGCGATAGTCATACTGTAGGGTTAAGATAGGGGATTACCGTTCGACTGAAAAATTGTCTGGTGTGATATTCCATGTATTACGAGTATCACGTCC